TACTTCTCCAGTTCACTCTTACGTGTAAACCCCCTAGATACACACATATGAATCCTTGAATTGTATCAATTACGGCTTGAAAGGAATATCTCGAAATAATGAACAACCATCTATGAAGAGTTAAAATATTCTGTCTTAGTCAGCTTCAATACTAAACATTTAAATTATTCGATTGTATTTTCACTACTTGCGTTCTTTTTTTGGACAGCCTTCAATATTGAAATTTTAAATTATTCGAAAAATTGTATCTTCATTACTTTCGCCGCCACGCTTACTTCCGACCCCAGCCGGTATACCATTTGCGAAATTAACCTTTACCTCGGAAATAATAAATGCTTTTTACACCTTGACTTCTCTTTTCTTTTTTTTTTTTTGCTCGACGGAACTGAAAAATGTTTATGCGGTTTTCTTCATACATATCCTTATAACTGTTGTCACTGCCACTACCAACTTTTACTTGTACGTAAGTTTACTCATGTTGTTATTGTTGTTGGTATTGTTGCCGGTTGTGGTGGTTTCCTGTTTTAATATAATTCGCTTAATCCTTAAATACTGTGTAAATGTTTCCAGTTAAAAACGCAATACGAACAAAAACTGCAACAACGTCAACAACAACAACATCAATAATGCTAGTAATGAAACATATGGTGGTAACATATACATATAAGTGTTTATTTGTACAGATATCATGCACATACATACAAATGTTTGTATGCATTATATGCATGCAAATAAACACATCGAGAAAAGCAAATCCATTTTCGTTGAATTAAGTGTGTATGTGTGTACAAGTATGTGTTCTGGTGCATTAATGTTACGCTGACAAATGTAAAGGGAAACATTCACAAGCACACACATTTATGCCATACACCAACAACAACACCACCATCACCAACAAAGTTGACTTTTATGTCTGAATTCGGCTTTTGAAAATATTTTATTTTCCATTTGCCATTTGTTTTTGGCGGATCGGATCAGTGATGAGATGTTGTAAAGTTGTGTACGTAGAGATGCAATGTAACGTGGCTGCAGTGGGGGTGGGAAAATGTTGGCAATGGCGTAAAAGTTATAAAGTGAATTTCTATGTACTTGATTTCATATGTGTATGTATGCAGATATATATTCAAATGAATTTATTCTCTGATCTGCATATTCCGCCAAATGAAAACTTCCATTGTTATTTGAACAAAATATTAGCCTGAAATGAAAATTAATCTGTATCTAATACACCCTCCACCATAGGGTATATTAAGTTTGCCATTGCGTTTGTAACACCTCGAAATATACATTTTAAACCCCACAAAGTATATATCTTTTTGATCAGCATAAAATTCAATGTCGATTTAGAGATGTCCGTCCGTCTGTGGAAATACCTCTAGCTTCCGAACGAATTGAGGTAGATTGATAAAATTTTACTCAAATGTATATTATGTCTGCAGGACTTTTGGTATTGAAAATGGGTCATGTAGGTCCACGTTATGGAATAGCCCCCATATAACGGTACCTCCCGATATTCGGTATTTTGATGATTTTAGCGACATTATTTACAGGAATTGTTTCAAATTTGGTATTTGAAGAGCGCAATGAATAATACAGCCTAAGACAGAAATTTGTCTGTGCAGGTCCACATCTTCGTATAGCCCACATATAACGGTATCTCCCGATATTCGGTGTATTTATGATTTTAGCTACATTATTCACCGATTTTTTTTCTAAGTTTCGCATTTGAATATTTTAATGGCTTATGACAAAAGTTGCCTATGCAGGCCCACGTCGTCATATGGACCCTAATATTAAGGCTAAATTCCGTATTTTTAAAATTTTTGCAGAATTTTTAACGGATTTTATTGTTGTTGAGAATTGCCAAATTCGTTTCAAATGGTGGAGGATATTCAAAGTTCGTCCCGGCCGAACTGACAGCTTTTTTACTTGTTTTGCATTAATTTCTTTGCCTTTTGCGCATTCCAAGAGCAATTTTATTTTCGTGACAACCCAATATTGACCCTTTTGCATACGAAAATACTATTTAATTCTTTTAGTTATTGCTTAATTTAATTTTCGGAAATTGAAAACAAAAATTGTCAACAAACAAACTCAACCATGATACAGTTTGGGACCTAAAAGCGGCAATTGATTGTGACATCTTGACTGAGTGACTGTGTCTGGATTAATTTATATTGCAAAAAACGTCGTTTGTTATGATAGTATGCGGATGTTTACAATTTTAAGGGATTTTTGTTTTCATTTGGGTTAAGGATTTTATTGTTTTATTACACAAAATGTATATTGCGTTTATTATAAGTTTGATTGGGCCAAAAATTATATAACACCTCGAAATATTGGTTTCCCACATAGGAAAGTATATATGGATCTTCCTATCTCGCCGAGCTAAGTCGATCTGGCTATGTATGTCCGCCCGTCTGTCCATGTTAATTTGTAATCACTCTACAGGCCGCAATTATGGCCCAATCTTCACGAAATTTAGAATGGAGGTGGGGCTAGAGCCAGAATAGAACCCTATTGCTTTCCAGATGATCGCATTATATTTAGAGGTTGAAATGGACCAAAAATTGCAAAATTTCCTGGTTTTGCAGTTGCTCTACCGGTCGCAATTATAGACCAATCGAAGCGGAAGTTAGCATGGGGCTAGAACTTAAGGCTGGGCAGAAGCTTTCCAATTTTGATGGTCATCGGGTAATATTTAGTGGCAACATAATTTCGAAAAGCGACCTTTTCATTAAATCGCGAATATTTTTAATTCCGTCGAATTCACAAATAGACGAACAGGTCAATTCTGACCGTTACGTAGATGCCGATAGTTAATATATCGGATATATAGCGAAATATATACAATGTGTATATACAAAGGAGGGGGATGTTGCTAAAATGCTTATATCTCAAGAATGGCTGGACCTATTTTGACAAATTTTGCCAATTCATCTCAAAACTAATAGGCTTCTATTCTGACCCTAACAGATATTTCACCTTAAACTTACCTCTATGTAAATTACCGTGACTGTCAGAAGATTATTGCGACCTGTATATATATAAGGTTTAACTAATAAAAACATCTTAGTTCGGTTTTTTATACCCTCCACCATTCGGAAAGAACTTAAAAAGTTTAAAAAAAAAATCCATCGAAAAATACCTCTCAAATGAGAACGCTTATATGGGGTTATACGAAAACGTAAATTTCTGCATAGGTAATTTTTTGTCAAATGCAGTAGTAACGATTCCTAACTTCAAACACGAAATTTAGCTCCCAAATATATTTTTGCACAATTTCACTTCTGTTTTGCAACCAATGCGAAATATGGAACATATTTTGATAAATGCAATTAAAAAGTTGACAAGTTAGGTTTAAGATTGGATTGATTATTCGATCAAATTCTTAAAAAAAGTCTTTCAATTTTGCGCAAAATCAATTAAGATATATCTATTAAGATATATCCTCAATGTAAACTTATATTTCTTTTGGTCTAGACCGATTTTCTTTATTTTCTTATTCTGGGAGGTTATATTCGAACAAGTAAAAGGTAAAAATAGTTCAAAACGATAAAAACGCAAATTATTAGGATTCAATATTCAAACGAAATCACATGGAGATTGTTATATCGTTATATGTGAGACATACCAAAACGTCAACCTACATAGACAAGAAGAATCAATTCCTACGATTTTAGAACAAATTCCCCAAAATAACTATTTTAAATTTGTGAGGTTTCTTACCCTACAACACTATGTGTTGGGGGTATTATAAGTTTGATTGGGCCAAAAATTATGTAATGCTTCGAAATATTGGTTTCCCACATAGGAAAGTATATATGGATCTCCCTATCTCGCCGAACTGAGTCGATCTAGCTATGTATGTCCGTCCGTCCTCTGTCCGTTTGTCCATGTTAATTTGTCTTCATGAAATGCCGAATGGAGGTGGGGCAAGAGCCAGAATAGAAGCCTATTCCTGTGGGAGATGATCTCTTAATATTTAGGGATTGAAAACTGAAAAATTTCCTAATTTTGCAGTTGCTCTACAGCTCGCAATTATATACCAATCGAAGCGGAAGATAGCACGGGGCTAGAGCTTAGGGCTGGCAGAAGGCTTCTAAGGTCATCGGGTAATATTTAGTGGGTGAACGTGAAGTGGGCGACATTTTTTTATTATTTCATATTTTTTATCGCATGCGACTTTTTCATTTAGACTTATAATATTTGAGTGAATAGTTTGTAATATTTTTTCACCTTACAACACAGTTTAAGGTTGCAATGATCCTCACGATATTTTCACAAGGGTGGGTTAGGCTCAGAAGAGCTAGGCCTATTGTTTTCAAAGATAAAGGTCACAAATAGAAACTAAAGGACACGGAATCTCGCATGAAGTTAGATTTTAGGACAGCGGGTAGAATGGACCACTTCGTTTGTGTGAAAAAATACCAACATTACTTACAGGCGATATCCGAAATACACAAAAGGCGATATTCTGGCTTTTTTTGCTGACTTCGTAGATGAATGTAGCCAAATATCGTAGACAAGCAAATTATGTAAATAAGTCTAAATTTGGAGATTTAGGGGTACAAACGAACGGAGAACATAAAAAAATTCTAATCATACAATTGAAGCCAATCGACACGCCTGAGAAGAGAGTTAAGGACAGGGAAAAATTCTAGCATTTTGGATTACCATTGGATTATATTTAGCTGTAAAATGGATCACAACAACTAACAGCACGACGGAGTGCGTAAATATTGGGTAAATGTCGCTGGTTAAAATGCTAAGGTAATATCTCTGCAGTGCTACATGACATAATTCCAAAAGAGAAATCTTCCAATATGGATTTGGACAAAAGGGGGCTTCTAACATATTGTAGTGTTGTAGGGTATCACATGGTCGACCCCGCACGACTATAGCCTTTGCTTTTTTGTTAAGTTCTAATTCTGTTTTTCCCACCTTTAAGCTTTATAAACATAAGAACAATCCAAGAAATTTACGACAAAAAAACTCACCTCATCATTTCTCAGCTGATGATCTAGGGTATCGACTTGTTCGAAGAATTTCCAACTTAAATTATCAGCACCATTCGTTGAGACAGACAGCAATAAATTTTTCGAATCTAAACACTTGTCATCACTTTCTTGCACCGAAGTCAACGGTTGAGATTCATTCGAATTGGATTTATTAGAACTGAGTAAAGATTTCAATTTTGTTTGGGACAAAGACGAAGTTAAATGAAAATTGAAATTACTTGAAGAATCACTGGAGATATCATTCAACATGGCATGGAATTGTTATGAGTCATTTGAATTACGTATATTTTATCACTTTTTTAATATTTTTCTTAAGTTTTTCTATTAAAATATTTAAAAAAATATGAATGCAAATATTGTAACACTTTCAATATTTCTTGTTATTTTTCAGAATTTGGTAGTGTATTAAAGAATATTTCTGTTTTGCCTTCGTGTTGAAATATTTAAAAAAACAAGTAAAAAATTATCGGTCGATTTTGCCGACAAATGTATACCCTCAGCCAATGTTCGATTATTGAAAAATATTTTGACTTCTGTTATGATTATTCAAATGTTTAACACCTTATGCAGCAGGTTCCGAAGAAATGGGCCAATATTGGCCATTTCGTATCGGACTTAAATAAATATGATATAAATACTGCGACCTGCCAGGTTTGGACTGTGTTGTGTTAATGGAAATTTTGGAATGTACCAAGTCTTGAATAGAATCGGATGACAATTTCGCTTTTTATGGGGGGAGGTACCAGAAGGAGTGGACCGATACATACCATTTTCACAACGGATCTTTTGTTAGTGGAAATAATGGGATGTGAAGGATGTGGAATATAAAGAGAAGCTAATGCTTATTTCGGATTTTATAAAAGTTTTGGTTATTCAAAACTTTGACCTTTTGTGGGGGAGGTACCAGGAGGAATGGTCCGATTAACAGATCCTGTGTTGATAGAAATATTCAGATGTTCCAAGTCTAAATGGAATCCGATGTTAATTTCGCGTTTTATTAGCTTAATGAATATCCATTAATTTCGAACTTTTGTTGGGGAGGTACCAGAAGGAGTGAACCGATATATTCCATCTTAACACCAGATCTTGAGTTAATGAAAATATTGGGATTTGTGAAATTTTAAGACAATCGGATTCTTACATCACATTTTATGAGAGTTGTAATTATTCAAAATTTTGACCCTTTGTAGGGGAGGTACTTGATGGAATGAACCGATATTGTCCATTTTCACACCTCATCTAGCACTGAGGCAAATATTAGGATTTGCAAAGTTGGAGCAAAATCGGATTATCCTTTCTCTTTCTGTGCAAAAAATATACGTTTTGAAAAATTCGACCTTTTGTGGGGGAGGTACCAGAAGGAGTGGACCAATATATTCCATCTTAACACCAGACCTTGAGTTGATAAAAATATTGGGATGTGCGAAATTTCAAGACAGTCGAATTCTTACATCACATTTTATGAGAGTTGTAATTATTTGAAGTTTTGAACCTATGTGGGGGAGGTACCAGAAGGAGTGGACCGATATTGTCTATTTTAACACATGACGTAGTACTGACGCAAATATTAGGATTGGCAAAGTTGGAGCAAAATCGGATTGTCGTTTCTCTATCTGTGCAAAAAATATTTTTTTGAAAATTTCGACCACTTGTAGGGGAGGTACCAAAAGGAGTGAACCAATATATTTCATCTTAACACCAGACCTTGGCTTGATGAAAATATTGGGATGTGCGAAATTTCAAGACAATCGGATTCTTACATCACATTTTATGAGAGCAGTAATTATTTAAAGTTTTGAACCTTTGTGGGGGAGGTACCAGAAGGAGTGGACCGATATTGTCCGTTTTCGCACCTGACTTAGCACTGACCCATATATTAGGATGTGCAAAGTTGGGGCAAAATTGGATTATCATTTCACTTTCTGTGCAAAAAAAAAAAAATATTTTTAAAATTTCGACAATTTGTGGGGGAGGTACCACAAGGAGTGGGCCGATATAGTCCATTTCCGAACTCGATCTAAGTTTGAAAAAAATATTGCGATGTACCAAGTTTGGGCCAAATCGGATACTCCAGCCAGCCAGACAGACGGACGGACGGACATCGCTAGATCGACTCCAAAAATTCTGAAACGGAATTGGTCCAAAGAGACGTAGGGTCTAAGACCATCATTTCGACTAGGCACGTTTTGGCCGTATCAAATGATATATACCCTCTGTAGCCATATGGCTGAGGGTATAATAAGACTGAAATAAAATATTGAATTCATTTCTGATGAACAATTAAATAATACATTTATATCGATTGCCTTTTGCCTCATTTCCACATTTCTATATGACATCAAATTAAACGATTTTCCAATCAATTGAAGCTTTACTGGCAAATCTACAGCAGTGATATGAATGTCCGGCAATATACAATCAATTGCCAAACGAAATGGGGGGATTTCTGGCTTTTCTATTTTTGCCCTAGACCAGCTGGTAAATGCAAATCTATTATGGCAATATGCAAACTATCCTTGAATTCAGATATTCCGCAGATTTCCACAAATTTAAATATTATGACCATGTGGTTGGAACACACACACACACATTTACACATGTATGCATCAACGTCCAGTGGCCATTCATGCATTTGGTGGTGGTGGCAGCAATGCAGCCAAATCACGCATTTAACACTGACACAATTAAGTGGCACCATCAGCAATGCCGCCACTAAAGACCGATCAAACGACCGCCAGGCAAACAAATTGTGCGTGAATCTCCATACCCCCCACCACACGAAAACACACTCACACACTGTGTGGAACATGTCAAGTGTTAATTTTTGGCCATATAATGGCCATTGATATGCAAAACAAAATTATTCTTCGTACTGCAGTTCCACACAAAATCTAAAAAAAACTTCAAATATTTTCAAAATTTCTCACTTCAAATTAAAACATTTTTCAAACACTTTTCTTCCAAAGAAAAATTGAATTTTTTTATTTTCAACAACACTTTTCACAGAAATTGAACATTAAATATCTTAGTATCTCTGACCGATCATTTAGTGTGTTTAACTTGGACCACTTGGCCATAAACGTTTTGTCCGTTCACTTTCAATTGAATATCTCGAGACAGCACGAATTCGCAAAAACTCCTACCGTACACGCACACGTTTTGTTTCAAACTAATGTCATAGGCATCGTCACTGCTCGACTATTGCCAAAAATTCCATCGAGTTTTCCTTCCGCACGAACGACGACAGACGAATCAACGAGTAGCAATTTTTCACTCAAAAGCCCCCCCGCCACATTCGTGTTTCGTGTGCCTCTGTGTGCAGATTTTCCACAATATTTTCTCTGTTGTATTGTGTACATGTGTGTGTGTACACGCGCGAGTTATCTGCAAAGCTTTCTTGACTTCGGCTATTGACTTGTGTTTTCTGCTACGGCGGGGGTGAGAAAGCAATCTGTGAGTGTTTTTCTCATTTTCTCCGCAATGTTCTCTATTTGTTTACATTTTTGCGGTGTAATTGTTTATTTTGCTCACTCTCTCTCTCCCCATTGGTTGGTGTGCAACACGTGGTTCCCACTTTTCCTCAATCAACAGTTTGTTTTGGTGATTTTTTTATTTCTAAGGGTGCTTTATTGTGCACGTGCTTCTGGGCAATTGGGGTGACCAGATGACTTTTCACTTAGTGTGTAGAAACTTGTGCTATTTTGACTGACTGCCTTAACGATTCATCAACGCCCAGACGAAACGGCTGAAGCTGGAATCTTGAAATTTTCGATTAGGATCGCTCTTGGCCCAAAGGTGTCAGATAAGCAGAGTTTTTTTTTATACCCACCATCATAGTATGGAGGGTATATTAAGTTTGTCGTTCCATTTGTAACACCGCGAAATATACATTTTAGAGCACACAAAGTATATATATTCTGTATCAGCATAAATTTCTATGTTGATTGTGCGATGTCCATCAGTCTGTCCGTCTGTGGAAATCACTCTAGCTTCCGAACGAATAGAAGTAGATTGATAAAATTTTACTCAAATGTATATTATGTATGCAGGACTTTTTGTATTGAAAATGGGCCATGTGTATTCACGTTTTGGTACAGCCCCCATATAACGGAACCTCCCGATATTCGGTATTTTGATGATTTTAGCGATATTTTTCACCGGAAAATTGTCTGTGTAGGTCTACGTCTTCGTATAGCCGCCATATAACGGTACCTACCGATATTCGGTATTTTTATGATTTTAGCGATATTTTCACCGGAATTGTTTAAAATTTGTTATTTGAAGTTCGTAATGGATACTACAGCCTAAGACAGAAAATTGTCTGTGCAGGTTAAAGTCTTCGTATAGCACCCATATAACGGTACCTCCCGATATTCGGTATTTTGATGATTTTAATGACATTATTTACCGATATTTTTTTGTTGTTAAGTTTCGCATTTGAATATTGTAATGTCTTATGACAAAAGTTACCTATGCAGGTCCATGTCGTCTTATAGACCCTAATATGACGGCTACATTTGGTATTTTTAAGATTTTAACAGAGTTTTTAACGGATTTTATTGTTTTTGAGAATTGCCAAGTTCGTTTCAAATGGTGGAGGGTATTAAAAGTTCGGCCCGGCCGAACTTACAGCTTTTTACCTGTTTCGTATTAGAATGGTACAAAAATTACAAAATGGACGAACCAGTAAGGCTAGAATTCTTGAATTTCAAATAAGGGTCACTGATGAAGTGTATGATAGATATATCGGAGGGTTTTTGGAAATTCGCACTATATATAGTCTTAGAAATAAGTACTCATGTATACGGAAAAGTACTAAAAGGTACTAAATTTGATACAATTTGAAGGAATGGATAGAGCTGGAATCCTGAATTTTTGAAATTAACATTACTGGCGGAGTGTAGAGTTTGGATATGGCGAAAGTTTTCGAAATCTGTACTTATGAGCACGAAAAGTACTAAATGGTACTAAATTTGATACAATTTTAATTTTGGGAAACCGATAGATTTCGAATACTGAAATTTGGAAATAAGATTACTATAGCATTGTAAGATTGTGGCATGTAGGAAGTTTTAGAAATTGAAAATGCTGTACTACAGGGTGAGATAAAAAACTGTAACAAAGAAAACCGCCATAATTTTTACATTTTTTTTTTTTAATTTTATTGAATGAAAGCAAAAAATCCTTGAGGTTATCGACACTCTTGGTATTTTTTAGTGCCAACCTTGCTTTCCAAAATACTCCGGACA